ATGTGGTATATATATACGATGGAATACTACTCAGCCATAAAAAAGACAAAATCATCCCATTTGCAACAACATGGATGGGCCTGGAGGGTATTGTGTTAAGTAAAGTAAGCCAGAAGGAGAAAGACAAACACTGTATAATCTCACTCATATGTGGAATATAAACCAACACATGGACAGAGAAAACTGTATTGTGGTTACCAGGGGCAATGGGGGTGGGGAGTGGGCACAAGAGGTGAAGGGAGACATATATATGGTGATGGACAAACAAAAATGTACAACCCAAAATTTCACAATGTTAAAAACTATTAAAACATCAATAAAAAAAATAAAATAAAATAAACAATATGGAACTTGAAAACATCTCTGCTCTTAGATTCCCAAGGAAGAGAGGAAGCAAAGCATAATGGTGTCGCTTGGACATGGATCTTTAATTGCCAGTAGTCACAGAAGGAGAGCAAAGCCACTGGAAGATACACTCGACAAACAAAAGGAAACGCTGTTTCCTTGGAGAAGGAGATTGGAAAACAGCTAACGTGCACAGAAGAATGGCTTTTTCTTGGCCAACCAGAGTTTGGCATCTGCTGTGAACAAGTAAGCAAACACCATTTCTGAATCATCATGGCCTAGCTTAGGGTCCTATGAGACTGAAAAGGAGAACGAGCCCAGACACCCTCCACCAGCAGACCCACCCGCCAACGCGCTAGTACTCACCCTTCTTCACGGCCACAGTGAGGGTGGTCGTGCTGCCCAGTCCCTGCTGGTCTTTCACTGTTAAACGGAAGTGGTAGGTACCCACCTGAAGACCGGTTACAGTGGCTACAGCTTTGTCGGTATTTTCCATCTCCACTGCACTGGGGCCTCTATAAAACAGGAAAGTGATTAACAAAAGGCAGGGGGCGTGGGATTCTGATTATGGTAGGCACGATATTTATGTCCTTATAGATGCTTCTTTTTACAGCTATAATATATACACTCTAGAGCATTCTAAGATAACACTTTATTCTCTAGTTCAGTGTAAGAGTCATAAGATAAGCCTATTTCAGATAGAGCCCCCTGAATGCCTGGGAAGAGGATTTTTTTTAATTGAGCTGTCAGTGAAATGATCTATCTTTGGAAAATAGAGCCCTAGATACTACTCCTATTTCTTCTTTGAATAAAATTAGGTTAAATTTTCACCTATCCTTAGGGAGAGTATGGAGGAGGAGGGAATGAGCCAGATATCAATCTCCTAAGAGAGGAATTACAGGGTAGTCATTAAGGTTGTGGGCTTTGTGATCAGAAAGCCCAGGTTTGAGTTCCAGCTCTTTCTCTCCCTATCTGGGCAACCAAAGGCCATGTGATCTCACTAGCCTCTGACAGCCTCAGTTTCTTCAGCTTTAAAATGGGAATAATATTATTATTTACCTGTAAGAATTGATATAGGAATCTATGAGATTAAGCATGTAAGGCACAGAAAATGTTAGATAATACAGATATTCCCTTAAATTCTGTACTTCTGTTGTCCACACTCACTAGATAGTTTGAGTGAGTGTAGAAAGGAGGCCTCGTGAGGACCACACCCAGGTTTCCCTGCACCCCCCCTGTCATGAAGATCCCCTCCCACCAAGTCTGCTCTATCCACCTGCCCTGGCTCCACCTCTCTCCACCGCCAATGAAGTCTATCTTGTCAATCCACACTTGACATATTCTTCAATCAATAGTGCCCTGCTACTTCCAGGAACGTGCTTAAATCCTGACTCCTCAAGTTGGTGGTTTAATTTAGACCCTCCAGAGAAGAGGTAATATTAGCATTTAGCTGTGGACGTGAACCCAGCAGTTCAGTGATAAGAGTGACTACCTGACATGCTCCCAGTGGTAGAAAACAACGCCATGGTCATCACTGCTCCGGCTCCCATCCAGGGTGGTGCTCTCCACTGGGTAGACAAGTTCCTTATCGGGGCCGGCCACAGCTACCGGAGGCCTGTTGTCTTCTAGAATTGCAGAAACGGTGTGAAAAAGTATTATCTCTTTGCATTAAGTATGCTATCCCTTGGTTTCTTGATTTAAGCAAATTATTCATATTAGACCAGGTAGTTACTAGAGCATGTAGTGTCCTCTGAGAAACCTGAGGTGAAACACTGCAGTCTTCTAGCTGACCCAGGAGTTAAATATTCTGAGTTTGAGACTGGGGTTACAAGCAGCAAGAAATACTGTTCCCTAATATACACATCTTTAGTTTCTTTAACAGATCTTAAAAGTCAAGGAGTCAAGAGAGAAGGAAAGGGAAGAAGGATGGGAGGAGGGAAGGAAGGCCATGGGGAGATAGAGAGAGGGAGGGAGGGAGGAAGGAAGGAAGGAAAGGAAGCAGGCAGGAAGGAAGGGAGGAAGGAAGGAAGTTAGAGAGTTAGTTAGCTGACATCAACGTGAAGAGACCTACTTTGTTAGGTAAGGCTACTTCCTTTCACCTTGTGGCCCCAGTGCCGAATGTAATACCTGGTACATAATAAATGCTCAAAACATTTCAGTTAAATGTCGAACAAAAGTAAAACATATGAAGTATCACTGATATCAATATTGATATAAATAAACAAAATTTCTGATTAAAAAAAGTCATGTAGTCAAAAACCGAGACATATGTTTGGACCAGATCCCAGCCTCGCTGTCCTACTCGATAAAGCCCAGTGGTCTCCTACTGCCTTAGGATTAAGTACTTACGTGAACATACACTTACAAAGCCCTTGATGACCGAGCCCCTGCCTCTCTCTCCAGATCATCTGTTGTCATTCTAACCCCTGCCCCTCACACTCCCATATCCTCACCTCTTTTTCTCTCCCTCCAGTCACACTAAATTCCTTTTAATTCTTTGAACCACCAGATCCTCTTTCACCCCATGGCCTTCATGCATACCGTTCCCACCGCCTAAAAACTCTTCCTCTTGCCCTTCACTGCCCACCCTTCACCTTCTTCACCTGGCCAACTGCAACTCATGCTCCAACCCTTAGTTCACGGAAGAGCTCTTTGCAGACACCCCAAGCCCAGGTAGGTGTCCTTTCTGTGGGCTCTCCTAGTACCCTGTCCTTCCCCTAGAAATACACTGATCATGTGGTTTTATGTGTACTGGCCTAGGAGCCCTGTGAGGGCAGAGACCAAGTCTATTTTCTTTCATTCCACATCCCCAGGGTCTAACTAATAGCACTTATTACATATTAGCTGGATAAATAAATGAAAAGATAAATGCATTGTTTATAAGTTGAGTAGATTCTCAGTTGCCAGGACACTGGACAGTTTCTGGGACTAGCAGGCATGTTCTAGCAAAGTTGTAAAGCAAAGACCATTGTCAAGCAAAAGCCTAACTATCCTTAAGGTTATTTAAATCTGGAGGAAGGCAGAGTCCTGGGTTTTCAGGAAACCATTAATGGACTTTGAGCTGAACTATAGTCAATTCCCCCACGTCTGGCTACAAGCCACATGTAACTAGCAGCCTCTTCAAGAATCCCCTGGAGCTCTTCAGCAGAGTGGGACGAGGCATCAGAGCCCAAAAGTGAGTCTGTGGTCGCTCTCATTTTGTCCTTCAGGCTATGGTTTAGAGACACAGTCAAGACAGGAGTCAAAACCACAAAAGAAAATTAATTTTGTATTAAGATTCAGCTTCTGCAGCCCTGATTTCTCGACAGTTCAAAGATTTAGAGAATTTGCACCAAATTTGGCTTGTCTGAAGCCCAGAAGCCGAGGCGTCATTTCTGATTTCATCTCTGGGGCCAAATCCCTTTTCCATCTCACCTACCAGGCTGGACAATCACAGTGACCATAGCAGTGGACTGTTGCCTTGAAGAATCTGTCACCATCAGCTGAAATGTATAATCTCCTTCCTTCATTGCAGACAAATGAAGGTATGGGGTCTCTACTCCCTAAGTAATAGCAAATAGAAAAATGAAAAAGAAAAGAAAACATAATGTTAAAGAAGCATAAGTAATTAGTAGGACATAATGAAAAACTAATGATTTTACTAAATATAAAGATCCTGCTTGAAACAGAAATGTGTGTGCCCCAGGAAAATGCAATCCAAAGTTCACTGTGTATCCTCATACACTACTGAAGGAGGATAAATTAACACAGGCTTTTTAGAAACCAGTCTGGCAACACTCATTCAAATGTTAAATGAGCACACTCTTCAACCCAGCAATTCCACTTCTTAGTGTCTACACTAGAGAAATGCCCACATGCACAAGGAGGTTTGCACATGGATGCTGACTAAAGCATTGCCTAAAATAGCAAAAAATGAAAACAATCTAATTGCATCAACAGGAGAATGGCCAAATCCACCACAATACACTATGGGATGCTGGTTTAAAAGAATAGCGTAGATTTATAAAAAAATAAAATGGAAATATGTCAAAGACATATTATGAAGCAAGAAAAGAAAGTCATGGAACAATGCATACAGTGTGACAGATATTGCTACATGCACATACACACAAAGAAAAGATTCTGGAGGTATACACATCAAACTGAAAATAGTGATCATCTCCAATAAGGAGACTTGGATGAGGTCAAGATGTATTTTCACTTTGTCAGAATTTATTTGACTTTTTCTTTTTACTACAAGAAGCAATTCATGTATTACTTTTATAATCAAAAATAAATTTTTCAATAAGGCATTTTTTCAATTGAATATATAATAGTTAACTACTTGTTGCCTCCAGGTTAATATCCTTCCGTTTTGTTGCTGCTGTGTTGTTGGTAATATTTCCAATTGTTGCCTATGTTTGAAGTTCACAGCATCAGGAAAAGAATTTTTAATTTTAAGTCCCATTATAACTTATTTACTTTTATAGATCCCAAAATTGTCTAAAGATAAATGTATCTGCACGTATTTTTTAAAGATTTTAATGGAAAAAGAAAATTGATAGGAAATCAACTGTGCTGTCACAAGGGGAACTTCTGAAATTTGAAATGCATACTTTTATGAACTTTTTAAAAAAAGTGCTTTTACCTACTTTGATTAAATAGAGCAAGGCACTTTTTTCTGAAAAGTTCTATAGAAAAAGTATAATTTCCTATTTGTTGCCTCAAAATTAATACGGTTACATGAATGCTTATGCACATGATAAAAAGGAATGCTGTGGCAGATGGGAACTGAGCAGACTAATGTCTTGCTGAGCACCCCCAAAGCAGCCATATGTTCTAGGTAATTGCACAGGCTTCCATGACCTTCCCTAGCACAGAGCACAGCCTCAGAAGGCTGCCTTGCACATTTTTTAGACTATTGTAAATGGTCTGGTTTACAGAGTTCATCTTTGTGACTGCCCCGGTTAATAACAAGCATCACCCCTTTTGACATCTTAATCAATCACAAGGCAATAACATTGTTACTGGGGATAATCTTAGAGCGTCTGCAGCAGGTAGACAGGTGTGGAGAGCTGTCCACAGCTAGCTCTGTGGCCCAGCACCAGTGACTTCCTTTGGATACATGTCGATTAGACATGAATGAATTCTGGGGTACTAGATTTGGGCACATAATTCTCAATAATTAAGGGAAAGAAAATTTGGAATATTTTTTAACCAAGGAAATACAACACATCCTATCTTCCTGTTTTGTATCCAAAATCAGAATTTTCAACACAACAGAAGCAAACATAGCACTTGCCGCAACCCTTAGGTAAAGATGGACACTACACGGAGAGCTCTCCGAGGATATCTAGAGGACTCACGGCTCTTTCAAGTTCCATAAAAGCAATCAGTCATTTTTAATCCATCATAATTGCAAAGCACTTTCCAGAAATATCAGAAAGTAAAGTAGGTAAGTTTTCATGGAATGTCTGATTTCATCATAAATACTAATGAGAAATTATCTTGGACTGGTGAGATAAAGTTTTAAGGAGAAAAGGAGGGTGGCAATGTAAAGTCCTATCTTTTTTCCATTAAACTCTTAAAGAATAACATAACTTCAAAAATACCAAGAATGGTTAGCAACAAAAACAAATAGTTCTGGCCATCACCAAAAGATCAAGCAAACAGCTCATACACACTCACGCGCACACACACACACACACACACACACACAGAGCAAAGTTCCAAGGTTATTATGTCTTGAAACAAATATATTTAACATTTGAACAAATCAAAAGGCAAATACAAGAAGCTCTTAAAAAGAGACCACTGGAGGCCGGCCCCGTGGCTTGGTGGTTGAGTGCGCGGGCTCTGCTGCTGGCGGCCCGGGTTCGGATCCCGGGCGCGCACCAATGCACCGCTTCTCTGGCCATGCTGAGGCCGCATCCCACATACAGCAACTAGAAGGATGTGCAGCTATGACATACAACTATCTACTGGGGCTTTGGGGGAAAAAAATAAATAAATAAAATTAAAAAAAATAAAAGAGACCACTGGATCCAGAAAAGATAGCAAGGAGTTTCTAAAAACAGGAGAAACAAAATAAGGAAGAATTTTCTGATGATGAGGTTTAGGTTAGACTATTTCTAAGGTTACTCCGAATACTAAAATAATATTTCTGTAGTAATGTTGGGTCAGACTTTTCCCAAACTAACCTCAAGGTCAAGTTGTCAACACAGGACCTGCTTAGTTGCTATTCTGCACTTATATAGAGTGGATGAGGGGCAACGATGTAAACTTGGAGGATTTGTGCTGTTCTAATAGTTGTAATATATCAGACAACTTTATAAAACATATTTTCTGAATTTAACTGCCCCCCATGCACCAATACTTGATAGGTAGTTACCTATAGATATGTGGACAGACAGATAGATGGACGGACAAACGGATGGATGGAGGGACAGGCAGATAGACAGACAGACAAAAGTCTGAAGGCAGGATAGAGAACTTGCCTGCATGGCCACCTCTTTGCTCTCACTCCCAGGACCCAGGGACCACTCATAAAGGACAATGTGGTGATCATCACTGCTCTGGTTTCCATTCAAAGTGATGGAGTTTTGGGGCAAAGTTATGGTCTGATTTGGTCCCGCATTGGCAACTGGTGGATGGTCCACAGGATTGTTGACTATTAGGGCTGCAGTTGTGGAGTTAGTGGCTCCATCTGAGTCTGTAACAGTCAACCTACAAAAAGGAGAGGAAGCCATTACACTGCAAGAATATGCCAAATCTTAAGGCAAGTGGTCGATTTAGTCTGCCCATGGTACATTTCTCAGAACAACTCAGGACAAGAGTAAACAGAAATTTGAGTATGAAGCTGAGAAAAGAACAGAGATCTGAGGATATTTTTCTATTTGTTGCTGTTGATTTACTTTGTTTTTAGCTAGTAATATTGTCACATGATAGAGTTTTATCTCATATGGGTTTCTGATTAGTCTTTGAGATGCTGGATGAAGAAACCATCCTCAGCCAACATAGAAGCCTCTCTCTAATACCTGAGTCTGAGAACGCATCAAGTTTAAGTCCTGCCTTCAGGCCTGAGCATGTAGAGACAGTAAATCACTCATGAATTTTCAGCTACAAAGTCTTTTAATGTTTTGATTCTTTTCCAGAGGACTTAATATAATGAGTTTTTCAGGACACTCCTTGCAAAGCAATTTTAGGATTAAGCGCTTTCAAATACAAACAATACTCAACCTCCACAAGCAAACAACAAAGAGAAGTGGACTGACTCTCCTTAGTAAACTCATTCCTGATGTGGCAATTGGATCAGTGAAATGAGGTCACTCCATCCTTCCGGGGTAAAGATGTTAGTTCAGAGCAGAGATGGATGCTAACCGGGTGTAAACAGGAATATGAGAAGGAAGCTATGGAGCGATCACAGGCCTTATTTGTAGGTGAGGTACATATACAGGGGGGCCTATGTATTCTGAGCTTCCTTTCACACTACCCCACATACTCCACACAACCAAGATCCAAACTCCAGTCCTGGCTCTGACAGCAAACCAAACACCTAAGGTTCCCCCTCCTCAACCAGGCTGAGTCAGCACACATTCTGGGCCCTTAAGGGACTTTCTTCCTGGTAAAATGGGGATAGCAGCAGTAACCTGTGTCAACCAGACGGTGAAGAATAATTAAACAAAAATGAATCAAAAGCACCTTATAAAGTGACATTTCACTATATATAAATTTTACCCCAATAAGTAAGTCAAGTGCTATAGAAAGACTTGCAATAATAACTTTTCTGAAGTCCCCTTAGGTTTTTATATCATAAAGTTCCCACAAGTATACTTGAACAAACCCTCAGATAAAAAGTAGACAATAATTTGGCAACTTATATCAAACTCCTTAAAACATACAGGCTTCTGACCTAGAAATTTTACTTGTACTCCAAAATTTAACTATAAGGATGTTGACCCAAACAGTGAATAATGGGGCTGAATTAATAAACTACAATGTATCAGCACAGCACCAAACATGATGTTGCAGAATATTTAATGACATGGATATTCATGATAAATGGGGAATCCAGAAACAGACCCACACATCTATGAAAACTTGATATAGGAGAGATGTGGCCTTGCAGAAGGAAAGGATAGACTAGACAATAAATAGTACTGGGACAATTGGCTGATTATCCACATGAGGAAAAATAAAATTGGATCTAACCACAGTAGATATACAATCAATTCTAGATGGGTAAAAATTTAAAACACAAAACTTGTAAAATTTTAGAAGAAAATATAGAAAGCAGCTTGCAAAACATCCTATACTTTTTGATCCAAATGAGAAAAAAATGTTTTAAGTTTATGTATGTATAGAAAAAGGACCATAAATATAAATAGATATATCTGCTTAGATATATTCTGTTTTTTATTTTTATAGCAAACATGCATTATTCTTATTATAAGATGAAAATATTATTTTTTTAACTCCTGCATTGTTACTTGTCTCTTGAAACCTATATTTCTTCTGGATCAAGCTGTGGCTGCCAACGCGGTAAACCAAAAACAAAGACACAGACACCCCACCAAAGAAGATATACGGATGGCAAGTGAGCATATGGAAAGATGCTCCACACCATATGTCATCAGGGAAATGCAAATTAAAACAACGAGATACCACTACACACCTATGAGAATGGCCAAAATCCAAAACACTGACAACTCCAAATGCTGACAAGGATGTGGAGCAACAGGAACTCGCATTCATTACTGGTGGGAATGCAAAATGGTGCAGCCACTTTGGAAGAGTTTGGCAGTTTCTCAGAAAACATACTCTTACCATACAATCCAGCAATCATGCTCCTTGGTGTTTGCTCAAAGGGGTTGAAAACTTATATCCACACAAAAATCTGCACATGAATGTTTACAGCAACTTTATTCACAACTGCCAAAACTTGGAATCAACCGAGATGTCCTTCAGTAGGTGAATGGATAAATAAACTGTGTTATATCCAGACGATGGAATATTACTCAGCAGTAAAAAGAAATGAATTATCTTGAAAGCCATGAAAAGACATGAAGGAACCTTAAATGCACATTGCTAAGTGAAAGAAGCCAATCTTCAAAGGCTACATACTGTATGATTCCAACTATATGACATCTGGGAAAGGCAAAACTATGGAGACAGTAAAAAGATCAGTGGTTGTCAGGGGTTGTGAGGGAGGGAGAGATGAATAGGCAGAGCACAGAGGATTTTTAGGGTAGTGAAAATACTCTCTATGATATTATAATGAGGTATACATGTCATTATACATTTGTCCAAACCCATAGAATGTACGATACCAAGAATGAACCTTAAGATAAACTATAGACTTTGGGTGATTATGATGTGTCCATGTAGGTTCATCCTTTGTAAAAAAAAATGTACCACTCTGGTGGGTGATGTTGATAATGGGAGAGGCTATGGATGTGTGGGACCAGGGAGAGTATGGGAGATCTCTGTATCTTCCTCTAAATTTTGTTGTAAACATAAAATTGCTGTAAAAAAATAAAGTCTTAAAAAACAAACAAACACACATGAGCACTGAATGCCCCATATGGCTGTTCATTCTGCTTCCACAGAGCCTATAGATTCCCAGGGATCTACTCTTAATAACAAAATAAGCTTGCAGAGTTGGTAAATTTCTTTTTGTTTTTATTGTGGTGAAGTATACATAACATAAAACTTACCATTTTAACCACTTTTAAGTGTGCAATTCAGTGGCATAAAGTACATTCACATTGCTATGCAACCACCACAGCTATCCATCTCCAGAACTTTCTCATCATCCCAAATCGAAACTCTGTACCCATTAAACACTAACTTTCCATTTCTCCCCTCCCACCACCCCATAGCAACCACTATTCTGCTTTTTATCTCCATGAATTTGACTATTCTATGTACCTCATACAAGTGGAATCATACAATATTTGTCCTTTGGTGCGTGGCTTCATTTACTTAACGTAATGTCTTCAAGGTTTATTCACAGTGTAGTATGCATCAGAATTTCATTTTTTTTAAGGCTGAGTAATATTCCATTGTGTGTATACACCACATTCATCTGTTGATGGACATTTGGGTTGTTTCACCTCTTGGATATTATGACTAATGCTGCTGTGAACACTGGTGTATGCTATAGACAGAATGTTTGTGTCCCCCTAAAACTCATATGATGAAACCTAATCCCTAATGTGGTTGGTATTTGGAGGTGAGTCCTTTGGGAGGTGATTAGGTCACCAGGGCAGAGCCTCTCTGAATGGGATTAGTGCCCTTATAAAAGAGACCTCAGAGGGATCCCTCACCCCTTCTACCATGTGAAGACACAGTGAGAAGAGGGCTGGCCATAAACCAGGAAGTGGGCCTTCATCAGACACCAACTCTACCAATACCTTGACCTTGGACTGCCCAGCCTCCAGAACTATCAGAAATAAATTCTGTCATCTATAAGCCACTATAAGTTGTTATAGTAGCCTGAATGGACTAAGATAGTGTACAAATATCTGTTTGAGTCCCTGCTGTCAATTCTTTTGGGTGTATGTCTAGAAGTGGGATTGTAGATATGGTAATTCTATGTTTAACTTTTTGAGGACTTGCCAAACTTTTCTACAGCAGCTGCACCATTTTACATCCCTACCAGCAACGCACAAGGTTCCTATTTCTCCATATCCTCACCCAGACTTGTTACTTTCTATTTTTTAAAAAATAGCCATCTCAATAGGGTAAATTGCTTCTTAAGCTGAGATTTCAAATAAACCAAAACAGAAGTTTTTACAACCTGTGTAAAATCTAAAGCATTCTAGAGCACCTCCATGGACTTTTTAGTCAAAGATGAATCCAGTCAGATGCTTGAGAGTTTCTTAACCTCGCCAGACTTCAGAGGATTCATAAATACATATATACGGGCTCCTTCTCTGAAATCATGGGATTCTTAAAGGGGTACATGAGACCTTGAAATTATAATAAGCCAAAATGTGTGGGTTGCAGCTAAGCAGTACTTAAAGGAAAATTATAGCTTTAAAAGCTTTATAAGTTTTTAAGGAAGATCTAATATGAATGACCCAAGATTCTACTCTAAAAAATTAGAATAAGAAGAGCAAAGTAAATACGAGTAAAGAAATAATAAAGATAAGAGCAGAAATCAACAAATTAGAAAACAAACAAAATTAACATAGCTTTAGTAAGGGGTTCTTGGAAAAGATAAACAAAATTAACAAACTCGTTAATTAGACTGATCAAGAGCAAAAGAGGGCCGGCCCAGTGGCGCAAGCAGTTAAGTGCACGCGCTCCGCTGCGGCGGCCTGGGGTTCGCCAGTTCGGATCCCGGGCATGCACTGACGCGCTGCTTGGCAAGCCATGCTGTGGCGGTGTCCCATATAAAGTGGAGGAAGATGGGCACGGATGTTAGCCCAGGGCCAGTCTTCCTCAGCAAAAAAAGAGGAGGATTGGCAGATGTTAGTACAGTGCTGATCTCCTGACACACACACACACACACACACACACACACACAAAAAGAGCAAAAGAGAACACAAACTACTAGAAATGAAAAGGGGGTTATTACCACAGATCCTACAGACATGAAAGCATAATACGAAAATACTATGAACAACTTTATGCCAAAAAAATTAACAATTGAGATAGAATGGACAAATTTCTTGAAAAACACAACTTACCAAAACTGATGCAAGAAAAAAACAGAAAATCGCCTTATATCTATTAAAGAAATTTAATTTGATACCAAAAACTTTCCCCAAAGAAAACTCCAGGCCCAGATGATTTTACTGGTGAATTCTATCAAAACTTTCAAGAAAGAAATACCACCAGTTGTTCACAAATGTTTCAGAAAATAGGGAAGGATGGATCACTGGCCAACTTGTTTTATGAGGCCAGTATAATCCTCACACCAAAACTTGAAAAAGACATTGCAAAAAAGAAGAGAAAGGCATAGGCCAATATCTTTCATGAAGATAGACACAAAAATCCTTACCAAAATATTAGCAAGTTGAATCCAATGCTACATAAAAATGATATAATGACCAAATAGAGTTTATCCCATGAATGCAAGGTTGATTTAACACTCAAAAATCTCACATATAACATAAAAATAACTCAAAACAGATCTTAGATCTAAATATAAAACCTAGAACTATAAAACTTCTAGAAAAAAACATAGAAAAATCTTTGTAATGTTGGGATAGGCAAAGGTTACTTAGAACATAAAAAGCATGAAACATAAAAGAAAAAAATTGACAAATTAGACTTAATAAATATTTAAAACTTTTGTTCTTTGAAAGATACCATTTGTTGATTGATTTTTTTTTTCGGAGAGGAAGATTAGCACTGAGCTAACATCTGTTGCCAATCCTCCTCTTTTTGCTGAAAGATACCACTTGGAAAACAAAAAGTCATATACTGGGAAAAAATATCCATGACACATATACAAAATAAAAAACATTTCAAAACGTACAGAGACTCTTACAACTAAATAAGACAAACAATTGCAATTTTTAAAATAAGAAACAGATCTGAACAGATACTTCACAAAAGAAATTATATGAATGGCCAATAAGCATCTGAAAGTATTCTTAATATCATTAATATCATTAGTCATCAGGAAAATGCAAATTAAAACCATAATAAGATACCACCAAGTTAGATAAATTAGATAAAATTAAAAAGACTGACTACACCAAGTTTTGGTGAGGATGTGAAGACTGGAACTCTCACACGCCGCAGGTGGGAATGTAAAATAGTACACCCACTTGCGGAAAGAGTTTTCAATTTCTTGAAATGTTAAACATAAACTCACTATAGGACCTAGCCTTTCCACTCCTGGATATTTACCCCAGAAAAATGAAAATATATGTCCACACAAAGACTTGTACACAAATGTTCATGGCAGCTTTATTTGTAATAGTTCAAAGCTGTAAACAACCCAAACGTCCATATTAGATGAAAGGATAAATAAATGTGGTATATCCATACACTGGAACAATACTCAGCAATAAAAAGGAACAAACTATTGATACAGACAACAACATGGATGAATCTCAAAATCATCTGCTGAGTGAAAGAAGCCAGGCAAAAAGGAGGACATACTGTACTATTCCATTTATATAAAATTCTAGAAAGTGTAAAATAATTTAAAGTGACAGCAGGTCAGTGTTTGCCCAAGGACAGGCGTGGAGGGAGAGATGGATTGCAAAGGGGCATAAAGAAACTTTTGGGGATGATGGAAATGTCTACTATCTTGATTGTGATGAGGGTCTCGCAGGTGTACGCATATGCCAAAGCCCATCAAATTTTATACCTTAAATATGTGCAGTTTATTAGACTTCAGGTATATCTTAAAAAGTAGTAAAAAGAAAAAGATTAAGAAACAGATAAATCATACAACTCTGCCTTACTCTGACTCTGCGAAGATACAAACTTTCACATAACAGCAAAAAGATGCCGTCCTCACCCTATTCCTGACAACCAAACCATATGTTTCCAACAAACAGGCACTTATCGTTCATACTGATTGATTTAATTGATATCAGAGTCTAAAGTGGCTGCCAACCAAAACCCCCAAGGGAACTAACCCTGCCTTGCCTCTTGACCAAAATGAAAAGAAGCACAGTGTTTTATAGGCATCAATTTAAAGAAACAGTCAAAATATAAGTGCCGGAAAGCACCATAAAGGTGGGGAACCCACTTACCTGAAAGTATAGTTTCCAGGAACAAGGTTAGACAAATGTAAGACAGGAGAATCAGCGGAGGTCTTCTTTTCTCCTAAGGGCCCGTTAATTTCTTTCCAGTGATAACTCACTATGTTAGTATCATCTGTACTTTCTGGAAAGATTGAACAATAAATGAAAACTAGAATGAAATGCAAGAATATTAAAACATAAATTTTGTACTTGATAATTTTGCATATTTAAATGTTTTTTTGTGAAATTATATAATCACATAGATTTCAACAGATATGTATTATGTGTTAGAAGGAGGATTTCTTCTCTTCTCTAAATTATCATCACTATTTTTCTCCTGGATTTCCACCAGATTTGAGTGAGGTTGTCCCCACTCAGTTGTGAATTTAAAAAGCACAGTGACAGGTGTTATTGCGTTTTTAAAAACAGGGAGTCAACCATGTGCAGCACATTGAAATACTACTTCTACACACTCAACTACAGCATATGATATCCTACTGATAATTTTAAATAGATATCTGAACTGACAGATTCATAAAGAGCTAAGAGATACTTACATGTAATTTATAAAACACCTTCACCACTCTAATCATTAAGAGGTAAATCCAGAGAAAAGTAGTATCCTACGTAAAAACTTCCGTTTTCTACTTTAAAAGAGAGCAAACAAATGTACCATATAGAATCACAGAAATTTAGACCTGAAGGGAGCCAGTTTCTTCTAATTCATTTAAGAGAAGAACAAGTTCATGTGACAGATTAATAATTCTGAACAGTTTCCTCTACCTAAGGTATACTGAATTAGAGAAATCAAAATGTGATGCATTTTCTCATGTAAATATTTTCTTTTTTTTTGTTTCATTTTCATGCTGTTATGGGGGAAATGTGGACATGTATAGTTGAATAGATGTAAGTAATCATGTCAATGTAATTTCTGTATATCTGCAGACTTGCAAAATGGAGCAGCATTAGTGGCTGACAAGTATTCTTCTCCCAACAACCAAGACAACTATTCTTCACTCTACAGGATTTGGTGTTAACTTTGTGAATAAATGCACATAAATGCAAATACTGGTTACATTGCTATTGTTGAACATATTTTGTCATATATCTATACAAATATTAATATAGTGTCAAACATAGGGTATGTTTTCAATCTATTCTCCTTTGCATGGACAGCTGTAGTTACACTGGGTAACTATATATAAACAGTATATATATAAATAGTTACCCAGTGTATATAAACCCATATAAACCCAAATAGAAGCAATGAACTCTGAATTAAATTAATAAAACATTACCCACCCTCACTGAAGGCAACCTTCTAAAATTTGTTAAAAAAAAAAAAAAAAGAGGAGGGTTGGCATGGATGTTAGCTCAGGGCTGATCTTCCTCACACAAAAAATAATAATAAAAATAAACAAAAATAATAAAATTTGTTAAAAGTGATTTTCCAACTACTCATCATACATACTACATCAAAAAGAGATTCTTTAATAATTACTTTAATTCCAAATCAAGTAACTAGGCCCTAAAGAAATTTTTCAGACACATGAGACATTACTGAAGGGAGAGTGAGCACAGGACAGAGAAGTTGTGAGGAAGGAACTGAAGAACTTGAAGACACAAGACTAAAGAGGGAGATGCTCGTCTATCAGTGTATTAGTCCGTAAGTCCTCCCAGCCTTGATAGAAAGCACCCATTCAATCCCATAGTATGTAGAGCAAAAACCCCCCTAAAATATCACAGGATACACACGGCTGCCATCAATGAGGGCTGACGTCAAAGGCAGAGTGAGCTCTTGTATCTGGGGAGAAACGACTGCTACGGGCGGCAGGTTGACTCTTCTGGCTGTGTGACAGAAAAAAAGGACACTGCCTGAGGCCACATTATGTATGCATATGTCATTACCCAAATAAAATCATCTGCTTTTAAAAATTAGTTAAAAACTTGTCAAGAAGGTATTTATCCTACAGCCTCAACTATGGAGAATACTTTTTAAAGGTTTGGAACTTTCCTATAAATTTTAGGAGCTTGTCTGCAGGTTTGCGTTTGTACATAAGCTCAGGCTCAGTGAACATGTATCATCGTAACCAAGGGGTTAGTCACAGAATGTGAGCAGTAACTGCAGAAAAGGAGCAATGGAGTATATTCCAGCTCCTGTGATTAACTGGATCTTGAGTCTTTGACTGAAGGCCCTCACCGCTACCACCACGCTTCAGCTACAGTAATAACCAGGCAGAAGGAGCAAGAGGCAGAGCTGTCAGCCCCAGCGGGAAAGGCTGGGAGGTGGCGCCGGCACAGAGGTGGCCCACATCAAGCGCAGGTTGTTCCTGCAGCCCAGCTCGAGGCCAGCCCATGTGACGCTCCCTGAGCCAGACAAAGGGCCACCTGTTTCTAATTCACACACAGACACGGCCCTATGTGCTGGCAGTGGCCTGAGAGGACCAGTGGGCTTGACAGCCCACAACATACATTTTCCTTGACCCCTCGGTTGCTCCGTTGAATGCTCCTTCCCCTAAGGTAAAGCTGAGTCATGGGGAATGGAGGTAGAAGAATGCATAGAGTAAATGTCAGCAGGGAAGCTTAAGGGACAATTTGCCACCATTCAGAAACAGCAAGCAATAACCTTGTATAGAACCTTAAACAGCAGTGTCAAGCAAGTACTAAGAGTTACGCAGAAAGTAGAAAGAAAGCAAACATAATCCTTGCATGTTTTCTCTATAATAGAGACTAATGCAAAAATAAAAAATATATTACCATGTCATTCAGGCACTAAAAAATTGAGATACACCAGTTCAACAGGAGGCTGTTCTCTTACACAGGCTTACCTGGTTCAACAGTGACATTTACAAATCCTTCTCCAAAGGCATTGTCACTAGAAACCGCCACTTTGAAGGCATAAAATCCTACTGACAACTGCAACAGAAAGAAAGGTTACACAGGGAAACACGTGAAAGACTCACTAGGGTCATTGCCTAGAAAGTGTAAAATATTCCAGAAGCCACTCTCCTAAAGTCAGTATAGAGAAGGGAGAGTGTCTCATCTGTGGAGACAATGCCATATGTTTGAAGCCTGTGCTCTGGAACACTAAAGATCACCCAGAAAGACCTTTAGCTTAGTCACAGACGTTCATGGGCCTTACAGAGGCACGAGTGAGATGGACCAGCCAAGGGCAGCAGTTCTTAAACTTGTGTGTACGGGAACCACACATTTTCGGCCACTACCTATAGCTCTGGTGAGCCTGCTGTCTGTGGTCTGGGTACCACACTTTGAGAAATAGTGCTCAAGGACACGAGGGTGATGCACACTTGTATTGCACCATTACCTGTGCAGTCTCAGGAATAAAGACAATATAATTGCCTGGTGGGAAACCGGACCTTTAGTAGCTAAGTCAGCTTATTTATCTTTATGGGCCAGGAAGAAGGTGTGTTTCATCTCATGAGGTGCTTACATCTTGGAGAAATATTTGATAGTCAAAGCATTTGTGAACTGGAATGGAAGTATTGGCAACTCTAGAACTGTGCCTAATTGAGAAGTAGAGATAACCAGAATGTCTCTACCACTGTAAAGAGAGCAAAAGCTAGAACACTGACGTTTAACCTCACCACAGAGACCCTTGGACAGCCAGCCTCTTTGACCCGAGCTGATATGCCAAGTAACTCAAATAAAGAAAAGCTATCCAAAAGCTCCCTTATTTAACCTTCTGCCCATCTACTTACATGGTTGAAACTTGATTCATTTATATCCTTCTTTTGATCTTAATCATGAGAGAGACTTCTGGGTTCAACAGCTAAGAAGGTGTTAACTGAATTCTGTGGTATGCTGTCAAATACAACCACTATTTACCTGAGTTGGTGGTACCTAAGTACCTCCAGTTACTTACTTGAGAGAGATTAAGAGTTTGAGTGTGTCTTTGTTTTATTTCATCTTGGTAGTCTACAGGGTGGCTTATTAAACTCCATTCATAGTTATAGGTTGTTTCTGAGAGCAAAAAAGAAATATGAGTAGTTACAAATTCTGAAAAGTCACTACATATAACCTGGGCAGAGGAAAGGAGATGACAACCTTTAATCCACCAGTAGAGATTAATTTAGAAATACTGAACTCAAGTTCAACTATCACCCAAGTGAGGAATAACAAGGTTTCTATATCTTTTTAATGTAAAATTTCTTTTTATTTTAAGAACATAGAACCTACAGAAAATTTAGAAAAAAAAAAAACTCCCCTATCTCTGTTGGCATTTGATGACTTTCCTTCCAGAGTGCTATATCCGACTATAAATATAAGTTTTTACATAGTATAATCCACTGCACTTTTTCTCCTTTTAATAAAGTCAAGGAGATTTCAATTCATTTCATCTGTTGTAGGGGTTTGTTTAAGGATTAAACAAATGGATTAAACCTCTCTATAGTAAGATGAAGCTGTCTCTACCTTGAGATACTAGCAAAGTATGAGGTCCCTCAGTTGAAAGAATTAAATGCAAATGCCAAATATTATCATCTCTGCTTAAATTTAAATCCATATGTGATAGGGAGAAAATGAATAAAGGAACTAACCTGAATGAGAAATATTTAAGCACCTTAAGAATGGATATACCTTAAGAAAGAATGCATTGACAGGTCACAGGGATAGGTCAAATGTTTGCTGAATAGCAGAGCAGTGGACAAGCAGAAGAAAGAGCATTTTGAACAACACTTTTTAAACAGCTGGTGTGAGGAATCCTGAGAACCTCAGAGCCGTGTCATCAACACTGCAATTTCTGCAAACAGACCTTTGTGCACACACTACTTCCCTCTCCTAACAGTGGAACCTTCCTAGGCTCCATGGGTTATCACAAGTCAAAATCTGGTATGTGGAAACCTCTCCTGCTCTCATATGTCACTCTGCTGTGCATCATCAGAAATGTATGACTTTCCATCCTGACCAATTAAAGGATATGTACTGTATTTAATTTCCTATCCTCTTACTCCATTTTTAACTATTTCAATAAACTTTAACACTTATGATCATCAAAGCCTTGTCATCCACTCCAGAACCTTCATTTGTGACATTAATACAATGTTGTGAAAATGAATCAATGTTGTAAATAGTAACAGCCACTAGTGGTCACAGAGGAAAATCAGTCTCTCACCTGCAGGGGGCGCTGGCACAACAAAAGCCTTCAGTTCAATTTCAGTTTTCGGTAAAGTTATCACAAGGTTATCACCAGCAGACACCAGGAGCTCTTTCACTAAAAGTTAATTAGAAATAGTATGTTCCATTATATACTATAACGATGTTAAGTTACTTCCCTACAATAGATTTGTTTTTAGTATCCATAAAAGAACATATTTTTATAATAGTTCTTCATATGATTTTATCTAAGACACTTTTTTCCTCCAGCTAGTAACTGAACTGTGCCCCATATTATGCTGTAGGGTAGACTTCATAAATTTAAAACTGTCTATGTGAGGGGCTGGCCAGGTGGTGCAAGCGGTAAAGTGGACGCACTCCGCTGCGGCGGCCGGGGTTCGCCGGTTGGGATCCCGGGCGTGCACTGATGCACTGCTTGTTAAGCCATGCTGTGGTGGTGTCCCATATAAAGTGGAGGAAGATGGGCACGGATGTTAGCCCAGGGCCAGTCTTCCTCAGGAAAAAAGAGGAGGATTGGCATTGGATGTTAGCTCAGGGCTGGTCTTCCTCACCAAAAAAAAAAAAAAAAAGAGTAAAACTGTCTATGTGAGCGGGCACGGTGAAGAAATAATGATTCAGATTGAGCAAGCAAGGTGATGAGTGACAAGAGTTTGTGAAACAGGTGGGGTACTATGGATTGGGTCTATTTTCTCTCTTGCTGCCAGCTTTTCTTGACTCCTTGGTATGTGCTATTTTTAGTCATAAAGAGACTGAGTATAATTGTAAGTGTTTCTGTATCATTAGTCATACACAACTCAGTTCTTCTGATAGTAACCACATGAATTACCGCTAATGGCCTTGCTCTTGGAACTTTTCCAAGAGAAAATCTAGTTAACCTCAATATAAAAAGGCTATTTTAACTCAAGCAGCAGGAACATTCACTCTTATCAAAAGCACTTATCCACTAAATCAGCATTCAGAACAATGCTCGTTTACTTTCTATAACCAGGATTACAGTGATATATTCAATTGGCTTGACTCAACTGGACATTAGTTTCATTTGTAAAATACAATTGAGATATGTCAAGATATCACATAGAGAAAAGCAAAGATTAAAAAAAAAAAGCTGAGTGCTCTCGAGAGGTCTCAGCCGCTTGGAGATGTTAGAGAGACATGTGGCTCATTTAAATCTGCTCCTCTCAGTGAGTACTTGGTCCCTTGAGTGCCTTCTTAGACCAGCTGCAGAGGCTTCGCTGCCTTCTCTGGCTCCTCTTTCCTGTCACTTTCACAGACTTGGTCCCTGAAAGTGAGCAATCGTGCACCTGGAAGGGACACTGGACCAAACCTACCATGTTATAAGATGAGGAAATTGAGCTCTAGAAAGGCAAAGCAAGTCGCTCAAGGCTATATGGGTAATTAGGAATAGATCTACCAATATTTAACTAACTTAAATGTATTTATTTCAACAACCACTTATATATCAGATTAAACTGTGCCAGGCACTGTTCTAAGGGTTTTAAAATTATCAATTCATTTAATCCTCAAACAACTCTATGCAATAGGTACTATTAGAACCCAAGGATCCTAATTCCCAGGCCAGTTTCCTTTTCAATAGACTACACGGCTCCTCCTCCACCGTTATCCTTCTCTCTTCTGAAGCTCAGGATCAAAGTAAATAACCAAGGCAGAGAGGGTAATCCTCAAAGTACATTATGCACAGAAAGGCTCAGGAAACCTGACAAAAGTCTGAAAACTTCTTTATTAGTAAATCTAATGGGAGCTTTTTGGTCCTCCCCATGACCTCAGCAATACATGGCCCTTTCATTCCTCCTTCCTACTTGGAACTCTCTCCTCTCTTTCCTTCCCTCAGAACATGCTCTCCTCTTTATCTCCTACCATCTCTGTGGCACGGCCACTCAGTCAGCTCTGTAGGCCCCTTCTGCTCTCCTAGCTCTTAGTCTAATGATGTCTCCAAAGTTCCACCCCTCAGGCCTCTCCTCGGCTCATCCCACCACTCTCCCTGGATGGTCTCATATGCCCCCAAGTCTTCAACTATCACCTCTACACTGATGACTCCTAGTCCTTTATCTTCAGCCCAACTGCTCGTCTAATTTTCAGTTCCATATGTTGATTTATCTTAGGGTTCTTTTTCCTTCATCCTGACATTCAACCACTCATCAAATCCTAATGATTCTATTCTGTTAATATCTCTTGAATCTGGTTCCTTCTCTCCCTCCCTACAACCATTCACTACAGTCTTTTAACAGATCTTCTTGCCTCTGGTCAACTCTATACTATTTTCTTGATTGAAATCTGATCATTTCACTTTCCTGCTTAACATCATTTAGGGATTCTCCATACTCATCCAATAAAGCACAAATTCCTTAGCATAGAATACAGGATCCTTCAAAATCTTGCTCTGCTTACCACTCCAGACTCATAACTTGCCATTCTCAGTCCATTCACATGATCAGTTCCAGCCATATGAACTCCTTACAGCTCTCCCAAAATGTCACAGGAGCTCTTTTTTTCTTGTGAGCAAGATCAGCCTTGAGCTAACATCAATGCCAATCCTCCTCTTTTTGCTGAGGAAGACTGACCCTGAGCTAACATCTGTGCCCATCTTCCTCCACTTTAGGTGGGACGCCACCTCAGCATGGCCTGACAAGCGGTGCATCGGTGCGCGCCCGGGATCCGAACCTGGGCTGCCAGCAGCAGAGCGAGTGCACTTAACCACTACGCCACCGGGCCGGCCCCTGACATGAGCTCTTATACTTCTGTTCTCTTGCACAGGCAGTGAATGATATGACGCGTGGGAAGTGCCAAGCATGGTGCCTGGCACTCAGAAAGTGCTCAGTAAATATAATTATCATTATTGATACACGTTACTGCCTCGACCTGTACAACATACCAACCCCATTTTAGCTGGCTCACTCTACCTTAGCATTCTCACCTCTGGAAAGGCCTCTCTGGCCCCTCCATGTGGGTCAGGCGGGGTGCCCCTCTGCTCCCATAGCAGCCTCTCACAGCACTTACCATATTGTATCAAACCATCTATTTACCTGTCAGTCTCGTCTCCTGGACTATAGAGTCACTGAAGGAAAAGACAATGTCTATTTATCTTTTTATTCCCAGTGTGTAGCACCATTTCTGGCATATGACAAATGCTCAAAAACATGCCTGGAGGGAATGAGTGAACTTTAAAAGTTGTCACTACTATATTCTATAGCATATCTTCAGTACACTCTTTCCAGTTCTATTTTTTTTTTTAAGTTACCTGTCCTGGGAGCAGTGGTAGCAGATACTGGTTGCTCAGGTGTGGTGGACTCAGCGGCGATGATGCTAGTAGGAAGGGTTGGGATACTATGCTCTGTGCTCTGTGGGATGACAGTGAGAACTGGGCTTTTCTCCATGGTGGCTGGGCTGAACTCCAGGCTGGCCGGAGGAGGATTACGGGAAGGCATTAGAACCTAGGAAATCAATTACGAGGATAAGTTGTTACGGAAAAAAAAAAAGATTGAAGTCTTCAAGTCAACACAATGTCAGCGACCTTTTTCATAAATTAGATTCAGTAGCATTTGAAACACCATGTCTAATATCACAAAACTCTGGAACTCTAGACCATCTCTTTCAAATATTCTCTCTGCTATCTATTAAAAATGTAAGGCAACGGGGGTTGGACAATTATTACAGGCAAACACACACACAAAACATTCAAGATAAAGAGAGAGAAAATAATTACAGTAGCCCCCGAACCAATCAGTAAGACGATAATTGAAGACAATCAGATAATTCAACAGCAAACAGGCTTCTAGAGTAAACGGTCTCTCTTCATACCATCCATTGTGTATAAACTATAACTTGAAGTTATAGTTATAGAGTTAGCCAACTTAAAGTTTTCCAATTAAATATGTGCAAGAGGGCAAAGTCTCACAATACGAAAATAAAATGCTCTTCTGAGCCTCAACTACCAGTGCCTATGTGGAGCGAGGTAAAAAATACTCAGGCTAAGAAGATAGGAGACCCGAAGGGGAAGTTGCAGTGAGAAATCCACAGAAAGAAAAGCTGTAATTCAAATGTAAACTGGAGAGGTGGCCATTGGTGTTTACTGAAAATACAGCTACCCTTTCCTGCAGTTGACAAAGGAGAGTAAGGATATGGCAGATGTTTTTGTGGCTGGAGACCTGATAACTGACATCACAGATAATATTAACTGAATACCCACTGAGTTCCAGATATTTACTAGGAAACTGCTGAAACCTTCAGCAACAAATTTCAGGAGCCAAGGCAAAAAGAAGATGAAGCATTAAACTGAAAACATATTGATCAGACTAAGAGAAATCAATTGACCAACATTTTAAAAAATCAGGTAGTGAGTCTACCATAATTTTAACATGCTCGATTTCCTTGAAGTTTCAGGCATCTGAGTTTGTGAAGTGAGTGCTAATACATGAGGCTGTGCGTTGCATCCCTAGCAACTATAGTGGGGCCTCTGCAAATTCCACAGGATGAACTGGATTTTTTTTTTAGTCTTATGGAATCTTGAAAAAATATTGCCAAGTTGAAATAAAGAATGAAGTCTGTAGAAATTAAGACACTTCTGATCAAAGTCTCAAAGTCACCAGGAAATGGCTGAGAGAGAAGAAAATCCTACTCTTGCCTCCTCTCTAGAACATTCGCTTCCCCACCATGCTGCCTCTCGAGGCTGGAATCACATGCCAGTTCTTCACTTTCACTATTCAGTTATCTCTAAATGACCTCCACATAGAACTCTTTGCTAAGTTATCAGGATACAGGTTCCCTTTGATATACCCCACCCAAAGAAAATGGATCTTCTATGGAAGCAACTGAGCACCAGCATCCCCCATTTCAGCGTTTTGATTTAAAGCCTAGCCTGGTCAAGAAAAGTCTCAAATGGCTCTTGTTTCATTTCTCTACTCTTATTTACTTTGAAACAACTTTAGGTGAATCTGTCCAGTCTTGTCCACCTGAAAACAAAACTGCAGAAAATGTATCTTTGTCCTCTACAAATTCAATCTTGATTTGTTTCCAATTCCTTGAATTTGTCCTATTCAATTGCACTATTTTATGAATAATGCTGCTATGAACATTCATGTACAAGTTTTTGTGTATATATATGTTTCCATTTCTCTTGGGTAAACACTAAAAACTGGAATTGCTGTTATAGGCAGCAGAATTTGCTACCCCAAAATGTGACTCTTTGGCTTGATTATTTTTAAGAACAAATGACTTAGGAAGGAACTTTGACCTCCCCCCAACTGCCTAAAAGAATTTAAAATAGAAGGCCTATTCCAGAAAAGAGCTAATACTGTAAATAACTACAGTATAATACGAACCAGGTGTGGTAGACAGGGAGGAACCTAGCAAGGCCCATTTGATCAAAGTCCTCTCCATGTTCCATTGTCTTTGCAAGGCATGGCGAACATCTGTTTACCAAACATTTGCTTTTCCATCTCCATGTGAATTGCCTTCCTCCCCTCTGAAGTCCCAAACCACTACCCCCAACATCCTCCTTTGTCTTTAGCTGAAGATGGTATTTAAGATGAGAGCCTCCACCATTTTGGCGAGTTACACTGTTTTCCTGGGTCTCTCCCATGTATACATGTTATTAAATCTGTTTGATTTTCTCCTGTTATTCTGTCTCATGTCAATTTAATTCTTAGACCAGCCAGAAGGACCCAGAGGGTAGAGGATTTGTTTTCCTCCCCTACACTCCCTAGCAGAACACATTTTGAATTTCTACCTGAATCTGTGTCTTCCAAACTGCAATTCTAACCTGCTCTTTAAATTGTAGTGATTTTTCCTCTGTTGACAGGCCTAAATTCATTCTTTCGTATGGTAATATCGCATCGTCCCAGTACCATTTGTTTAAAAGACTATTCTTTCCCCCATCGAATTTTCTTAGCACATTTATCAAATACAATTGTACTATTTTAAACATTTTGGTGAGAGAAGAAATCTTTGTTTCTGTCATTATTCCAAACTTTGCACTTCATTAGAATAAAATTATAGTTCTTATTATGGTACCTATCTGTTTATCAACACTTGTTCAAGGATTATCTACAACTCAGTGCAGCTCCAAAAAATTTAATGTGACTGTAGGGGGAAATTTGTATTTCACTGGAAAATAAAACATTGTCTACAGGATATTCCTCCAGATTATCTGATTCTAGTCTTTCTTGTGTTTGAGCTATCTTACAACTCTATAAGTTGTAGATAACTGATAACAATGCAAAATAATTCTTGTCTATAGACATGTAGCTTTTACCCTGTTTGGTAGAAAATTGAAATTGAGCCCCCCCGCCCTGCTCCAAGGGAAAACCATTTTTGCTTCCATTTGCACATTTACTTCAATATTCTTGATCCATTAATGTGTTTATTCTTTGGGTTTTTTTGTGGAACAATTATAACATCTGCTTAGTTCCTTCATTGATTAGTGAATAGAACAAAATCTCTAACACATGTTCATTGTGTATCTATGCAATTCATGATTTTACCTTTTTTTGATAATTATCTTTTTATTTTTTTTATTTTTTACCCCAAAGCCCCAGTAGATAGTTGTATGTCATAGTTGCACATCCTTCTAGTTGCTGTATGTGGGATGCGGCCTCAGCATGGCCCTGAGCTAACATCCGTGCTAATCCTCCTCTTTTTGCTGAGGAAGACTGGCTCTGAGCTA